AAATGCTTAAAAAATCTTAACTGACAAATTATCTTCATCCATATTGTAACCAGAAATGCTTTGACCTTTCTCTCAAGCCGTACTGACCATTAAATTTTCAATTTAACCTTCTGCTACTTCATACTTTGTTGTTTACTTTCTTGATATTACAAAAAAAATCTCATCTTCTTTTAAAAGCTTTATGTTATTAGAACACATCTTTTAATTTGTTTACATCCCTTTCTCATGTTCACCGTTGGTTAGATCTACTAAAGTTTTACATCATTTTATTGAAAGTAAGTATTACGGCTGAAGTCGAAAAATAGCTTAATAGCGTTTTTTTTTTTTTTTTTTGCAAGAATCATTTTGCTAATTAATCATGTTAAATGAGTTATACATCTGCAAGAAATTTTATAATTTTTGGTGAAGAAATAAAATTTGTGGAATTTAATATGCATAAGTAAATTTAAATATTAAATGAACTTAATTTCGGTTTGTGTGGATAACCTTAATTTAGTTTCATAAATTCTCTAAACCACATTAATTTCAGTGAATAAACATAATTTCAGTGAATAAACATAATTTCACTAAATATATATAATTTGAGTGAATACGCCTAATGTCAATGATTATGAAATAATAAACTTAATTTTTATCGCTGACAAATTAACATTGCTAGGAGCCATATTTGTATGATATTATTGTGGAGGTCAAGTGAACAAAATTACTCAGAAATGACAGCCACTGTGCGCTATTGATCAGTATTTTTATACAAAAACATCATTTGTGCTAATATTTAAATGAAAGTTAGAGTCTCGCAATAAAATACAAAAAAGAATAGAAAGAAACGTGAAAAATGTACGCGTGATATTTTCTATGAATTTATTTTTAAAATTTCAAACTCAATTCTGAGCGTCTATTTCTCGAATAAGGATGAATATTGCAATTAATGAAAAATCTATATGAGAATCGAAAATGGTTGCAAAAATTTAAATTGCTTTTATCATTATTTCTGTGTCAGACTTATTATTTTATGTGCCATGTCCGTTCAGGATATGTGAAACCATGTTCTCCACAACGAAACTTTAAACCTTTTACCTTCACTTATTGTCTTGATTCTGCTTTCCATTTGCACAAATTCATTAAGTAGATTCACCTTTACTTTTCTTACATGCCTTACGAGTGTTAAATTCTCTAGGCACTTTTTTATTGTAAGTATTTTTAGTCTTAGTTCCTATTTTGCTGTTCTTTCTATTATTCATTGCTTGATATTTTTCCTTAAAACGTCTTCGTTGCTCACATTCATTATTCGTGAGTCGATTGCCCAACATTTACTGTCACGTAGGAAATGACATAGCACTTCAACAGTCTGCTTTTAACCATATTTTCCTCTTAATAATACTTTTTGGGAAGGCATTTTCATTTTCAGTGTCTTCAGATTTTTCTATCATATTTTCCCAGCGCGTCTCTTACATTTCACTACTTGCTTGATTTCAGCGTCCCAATATGAAGTTGAAATCTTTCAGTTTTCTTTCTAAGTCTGCCATCAATACAGTGACATCCAGTTATGTTATGTATTTTGTGTCTATACGATGATAAATCCTGGTAGGTATCTAGTTCTGTTGGGGTCATCTTGCTGTAGAGCTTAAATAGACCCATTGAGAAAATGCATCTTTGTCTCCTTCCTCGTTCTATTTTCGTGTACTCACTGAACTCGTTCTCTATCCGCATGCAAGCAGTTTGTTGCCAGTAATGGCTACGGATTATTTTTCCTATATAAATCAAGCTTTCCTAATATTTCAATGTCGCACTTTATCAAATGCTTTTGTGCAATGTATAACACATAGATACAGGTCATTTTTGGATTTGTATTGCCCTCCCATTGATAATGTATTGCATTTCTTTTCCCAGTGTCTTTAACGAAGCCACACTTTTATTCCTCTATTTTCGGTATAATTCTGCTACGATCTCCGTTCTTCTCATTATGTGGAGTTCGCATTCATTTCTCACTTGCTTTCTCTATTATTCGTAAACTCATAGTGTTCCGACATTTTTTTTTTACCAATTGATATTAAATTTTGGTTCGATTAAACTGGCTTGTACCACTGTGTGTTTATTTATTATTTGAAGTGCTAACCATAAAACTCGAGTGTATAAGTCGAGCTTTTACAGGAGAAAAAAGAAAAATCAAGAAAGCAGATGACAGAGAAAACAAGAAAATGCAAATGGTAGAAAATAAAGACAGAATCAGTAAATATCAATTGATGGTCTTCGTTTCTTTCCCTAGCACTTAAAACGTGTATAAATCGAAATCAGTAAATTAAGAACTCTTCTAAAAATGTTCTACTTCGCAGTAAAAGTGTACAGCGAAATAAAAGATTTTTTTTAATTATCATATGAGAGCTATAAAGACAATTAATTTATTCGTTAATTTACTTTGAAAATGAACTTTTAGATAATTGACCAAATCAGAAATCCTGACAAAATATACTAAGAGTAGAATACGTATTTTAGCGTAATATAAAATGGCTACATTCTTTAGATTTAGAAAGCGATTGTTATTAGATACGTAAAAATCGTATAAATTCATGAAGAGTTTTTCGTAGATAATTGATAAAAACATAATTTTTGTTGTTGCTTTTTTAACATTTCTATAATAAAATAGACAAGCATATATATTCTAATTTTAGTTTCTAACAAAAGGATATGCTACTTCAGCTAAAAAAAGTATCGCTGTTTTGACTTTGAGAAAAATAGAGAAACTGGACTAATAATGTTTTGACACAGGAATGAGTGGAAACAAAATATTTTTAAGAAATCTTTGATGACTTCTATTAAAAACTTCGTGGTGGGATTAGGTTTGTGAGACTTTGCGCATGATGTGGCGTTTGTTGATGATGTCGTTCTCTCATCCCTTTACATCTAATAATCAAGTATATAGAAATGTACTGTTTTGGATATTATCCAGGAAGTAAGCTAAGGATCTGGCCACAAGAGCATTGCTTCATGATCAGTTACTGTGTTGGTGTCAGAGCTTTTATGTCAAGCAATGCATAATAGAAAGAAACGCAAAAAAGACAAGATATAATGTAAAATGCGATATATAAATGACTTAGATGAAGACAGGCAAGGGATTAGATTCGGCGGAGTGGATTTCAGACAGAAGGGAAATGTCGTAGGTTAATAACTTAAACGTCATAACGTTCACACGTTCCGCAACTGGCCATGATTAAATGTCGGCTAGGCAATTTAGCTGATTGGGAAACTCAGGAAGCTGGTTAGAAAAATGATCATCACTCAGGGGATTGAAAGAAGGTCGTTGATATAAAAAGTACAACCCATTTTAATGGGAATGGCTTGGTGTTTAATAATTCAGTTATTTATTTATTCAATTTTCTTTTCTGTTTTAGTTTGAATTAATTCAGTTGCATCAACACTTAGTGGTTTTTACATTTTTTCCTTTTTTTATGCCACACATGATAAAATGATTTCTTTTGGAAGAATAAAAAATCAATCTCTCTGTGAATTATGACGAAGGTCTATTTGATTATTTCTGACAAAAAATATCGTCAAATATTATAATTATAAGCAATTTTTTGACTGTTTTATATCACGTATATCAAAACGCCTCTTCAGTTTGACATAAAAACTTATGTAAGGAAAAGACGAAACTGTTTGTTGATGACATTTTGCGTAAAACAGTTGGCTGGGTTTAAATGCTTGTCCACTGATTCAATTTCTCTTTAGACTTAAATTAAATATGCTGACAAATTTGTTTGAAATAAAAACTGCCACACTGTATATCAATATTGATTTTTTACTAAATGAGCCACATATTGATGTAAATATTTTAGCTGTTTTAAAATGGAGAATTTTATAATTCTACCTTCATGTGGGTATTTGTTCAAAACTAACAAGCCAATGAGATGCAGTTCGATCCTCTCCAAATTCTTTGGAAATGCTTTTTAAACAGTTGAGCAAAATCCTCATGACACATGGTCGTCGGCAAAAGTTACTTCCGAAGTGTAAACTTCGAATTGGCGACATTACAATCGAGAGTAGGTACATAAATTTAAATATCTGGGTGTTGTAATAATATACGAAAGAAAATGTAACAGAGATCCGAATGCATATCGAAATAGCAAAAGTTCTTTTGAAACTAAGAAAAGAATGTAGAACACTTATATCAAATCTATCCTCCTGTATAGCAGATAAAGCATCTAAATGAATATGCATATGTGAAAACATATGAGCCCTAGCAGATATGTAATATTCACCGCCGACTCTGGATTACCAAGATTTTTTCCATATCCCGAGTTGGATTCCCTTCTAGAATGTATTTGGTAATCCTTTCCATTGTTTCAATTGAAGCCTCCCTTGCTGGAGCCATGGTCCTTTTCAATTAGCCAAGTCCAGCAGCTCGCTACGGTACGCAAATATTCTCTTTTAACTGTACACTAAATTTTATATTAGGTTTGTTTAGAATTTAAAATATTAGGGTTATTCCATAATTTTCTTCAAAAGTGTTTCTAAAATTTTCCCGTAATCTGGAAAAATATTCAATTAATTTAGATAATTTAATTTAACATGTTTGAAGTATATTTTACGACCTCAGAATATTTAGTGATTAAAAAAAGCTTTGTTTATTTTCTGCGTAAAAAATCTTGATAAAGATTCTGTAAAATTTATGGCTATATAATTTTTGTTGATAGAGTACACATACGGGTACACGTTGATAGAGTACACATACGGGTACACGTTCTTTTTTTGTTTCTATTTTAGCAAGTTCGTGCAATTCCTGGTTTATGTGCGTATCTTTGTGTGTTCAAACAATATCAAATTTAGTAACATTGAAGTACAATATTATTATATGCTATGTGCATACATATGCCAAACAAAATGCTGTCATCACATAAATATAAGAAATAACAAATAGAAATAAAAAGGAATACATTAGAGAAAATAGGAATAACACATTGATGAGTAGCCTATCCAGGGTTGAATAATAAAGTATTTCACAGTCACGAGGGAAAGAAAGAAAGAAAGAAAAAGAAAGAAAGAAAGAAAGAAAGAAAGAAAGAAAGAAAGAAAGAGAAAAAAGAACTCCATGCCTGAAAGTTATATTTAACAGCAATGAAATAAAGAGAAAGCTAGAAACAGAGATCGAGGTAAATTATAAAATGATAAAATCTAAAATAAGCCATAGAAAGAGAAGTGAAGAAAACTTAGAATGATGTTAAAGAATAAAAAGAACGAGAGGCAAAAAAGTAAGAAATGGATGAAGTATTGGAAAGAAAAAAACGTCAAAATAAATCAAATCAAATTAAAATTATTAATTTATTTTATTGTTTTCATCAGCAGATATGACAACAAATAACAATTTACTTTCATTATCTCAATTTGTCCACCCAGTCCATTTGAATCATCAAAGCATAAATAATTTTAATCTTGTCCTTTTCATGTATATTAAATGCTTTCCTACAATAATAAAGATATTTTTGTTCATCTAGAAATGCCAATGGTGAAAATGTAGTCATTATGTGATGACACCATTCAAAATCGCTGCTTTAACAATAAGAAAAAAGTGGAAACCCAAATGACATCATTTAGTAATTAGAAGCAATTAGTCAAATTAGAAATTGAATTGTTATTCTTGGCAGGCAATTGGTATTTCTTAAATGTTAACGATATTCACAAACTGTTGTCGTTTGTTGACTCAAGTTCAGAGAAACGCATTGGATTAAATGGCGCTGTAAAAATATGCATTATACGAAGAGTATTTTATTGGCTAATGAAAATTTAATATTAAATAATCTCGATGATATACGATACATTTTTTAATATTAGGCGTAAAGTTTAACACCAAGGCAGTATATTGAAGATGTTTATATTATGTCATAATTATTACTAGCAAAGAAAAGAAATTTCTGTTAAAACAATTACTTATATCCGCAAAAAGCTTTCCTTAAATAGTTTCTAATATTTCTGCATTATACAAATAAGACTCTTCTTTTTAATTAACAGAATGTAAAATAGTTAATGTCACGTTTATATAAACAATAACATATAAAATATTAATTGTATTTTTCTTAATCTTTGTTTTTTAAAGGCTTATGTAAGATATTAGGTGTCTTTGCCCAACAAAATGGGTTAGTTTCTTTACAAAATAAAAAACAAACCCTAGTGTCTAGTGTCCTGACATGTTCAAATTTCTAAGAAAAAGCGAAAATAGAATATAACTGTATGGAATAATGAAAACATTTAATCCGAGAATCTGAAAATTGCGTCTAATGTATTTTAAGATAAACCTGTATTTTGATTGAAGACGGATGCTTTTGTCATGTCTGCATTATTGCTTAATTAGAAAATTTCTCAATAATTCATTGACACACCAACGTAGAGTCGCAAACACACAATGTGATATTACTGAGGTTTTTAGTAGCAAGTGGATATTCTATTGGGACATGTATTGTAGGTAGATGACAGTGTGTAAAATCTGCAGTAAATATTTCATGATCATTTATTTTCATGGCGAGAAGTAATATGACTTTCATTAAGATGAAACAGAGTTGAATGTTTACTTTAAAATAAAATATTCTATTTATTTACATTGTTCGAACTATTGTCCTCATCTTTATTGTCATATTCATGTTTCGGCCGTTGTAAGCTTCGGCCTTCTTCAGGTAATTGAAATTTCGAGCTGAACCCTTTATTTTGTCCACAGTTACACGTGTCTTGCCTCTTCCAGAGGTCTCAGTTATCTCCCTTTAACTCACCTCTCCAAGTTTTTGTTCACTACTGCAGTAGCCAGGTATTGAACTCACAACTCTGTAGATCAAGTCGCTGGATTCAACCAACGCTTTTATCCATTGTGTCCTTGAGGACATCAGTGTATGAATTTGGAGGATTCATAAAACTTATAAACCTAATGTCTCAGTAACTTTTTTTACCAGAGCTCATATTGCAATTTGTTTTTATTATTGTTTTTCTCTAGCACTCCCATATTGTATTCATTTTTATGCTTGGCCTGCTTATATGCTGATATCTTAAGTTTTTGTTTTTTCCCAGTGATGTTCAACCTCATCCCACAGGAGCGGTGATCTCCCTTTTCCCTCTATATGTGGTCAGCTACACCTGATTTTCCTATTTCCCCTTGTGTTACGGCTTTACGATGTACTTTCAGTCTTACCTTAAGAGGGCAGCCTGTTTCTCCTTTGTATTTCTTACTACAGCTGCACGAGATGGGGTACACACAGTCCTTAGTCATGTTCTCTTCTATGAGGAGAGGGGTCTTACTCGGAAGAGGTGTCTGCGACGTGTCGAACCATTTTTGAAGGTCATGATGAACAACAGATCTTTTGTGTTTTCTCCGATAATCCCTGCACATAGAGTAGGAAGATCGAAGCTGTTTTCTGAGTGTTGTTATCCTCTTGTACCCTTCTATCCCAGTTTGTTAGAGCTGGTGCCATGTACCCAGTGTAGTTGTTACGTTGTAGGGTACTGCTTATACTGACCATTCCTTGTTTATATGTCTCTGGGTCGCCACTATAACTATTGCTCGAAGTTGTAAGCACCGGGCGACCCCTTTCTTTACACTGTATGGGTGGTGAGAGTTAAAGTTGAGGTATTGTCCGGTGAATTTTGACTTGCGGTATACGGATGTCTTGAACCAATGATCTGTTTGAGATATTAGGACATTCAGGAAGGCGAGTTTGTTGTTGTTTTCTCTCTCCATTGTGAACGAACTGTATCAATAATTTTATTGAGTTCGCATGGTTCAGTAGAAGCTGGATCTCTTCCTGGTGTGACCAAAGTATGAAGGTGTCATCTACATATCTCAGCCATAGAGTTAGCTTTAGTGATATGGATTCTAATGTCATTTCTTCGAAGTATTCCATGTATATATTTGCTGGTGATAATAGCGAGCCCATTGACAAGCCTTCATCCAGTCGATATATGTCTGATCCCATTCTGAATCTTGTTGTTTCTGTATGTTGTTGGTATACTAGCCAGTTCTCCTAGAGATGAGTCCGAGGCCAGACTGTCCCTGATTACCGATAGTGCCTCCTCCATTGGTACCTCGGTGAACAAATTCACCACGTCCAGGCTCACCATCTGGCTGGATTGGATGGGGCATATTTGATTATTTCCACGAAGTAGGCGGAGTTTCGGACATATGAAGGTGACTTTCCTATTAATGGGTCGATTATATCCACAAGAAATCGTCTCGGAGGGTGGCACACAGAGCCTTGTTAGCTAACAATTGGCCTGAGAGGAATACCAACGTTTATACTGGATTATTTCTTGGAGAAGAGCGTGTCCCGCTTTTTCTGCGAACAGACGGCCTTTCCTTGAATTGACGGGAAGTTTTGATGCCAAGACTGAAGGGATCAGTCGTAAGTCTCTGCATCGGTGTAGGAATGTTAGATGGTTCGAATTTGTGTCACCTTCTGCTGGGACTTTTCTAATTGTCTTTATATTTTCGGTATATCGAATCCGTACCGATCCTTCAATATCTGTCTATATTTCTGAGATGAGGCACTGTAATTATTTACAATGATCGGACTATTATCCTCATCTATATTGTCATATTCACGACGTTTCGGCCGTTGTACGCTCTGGCCTCGTTCAGGTGATTGAAATTTCGAACTGAAATCTTTATTTCGTCCAGCAGGGTAGATTGTGCTAGTTCCATGTTCATGCCTCTTCCGAAACGTCGTGAATATGAAAATACAGTTAGGGGCAACAGTCCGAAAAATTTAAATAATATAAATAATTACAATGCCTCATTTCAGAAATATAGAGAGATATTCTATTTGCATTTAAATATTAGTGTTATGTAGTTAAGCTAGGTAAAAGTAAATTGTAATCTAGTCAAAGTAGATAAACCAACTTCGCATATAAATTGTATTCTACGGCTTCTAGTCAAAGTAGATACCACAACTTCGCATATAAATTGGATTCTACGGCTTCTAGTCAAAGTAGATACCACAACTTCACATATAAATTGTATTATACGGCTTCTAGTCAAAGTACATAAACCAACTTCGCATATAAATTGTATTCTACGGCTTCTAGTCAAAGTAGATAAATCAACTTCGCATATAAATTGTATTCTACAGCTACTAGTCAAAGTAGATAAAACAACATCGCATATAAATTGTATTCTACGGCTTCTAGTCAAAGTAGATAAACCAACTTCGCATATAAATTGTATTCTACGGCTTGTCGGAGTTACCTCCTCCTTCAAGTTCGTAACCCTTTCACCAGAGGTCTCTCTTTCCTGGCTATAAATAGCCAATGACCCTTCGGCTCGACCTCTTTTTCCCTTTCAGGCCTGGGCACTAACGCCCCGAGGTAAATTTCTCTGCTTCCTAGAGGATTTCAACTATCAACCTCGAAGTGTAGTCGCTAACAAGAAATAGCGTGAAATCACGCTAAGCACAATGCACACACGCACGCACACACAGAATATCCACACACGCACGCACGCACGCACATACAGAATATTCACACACTTTGTCCTTCGTACTGTTTCCTTGTTATGAATATATATTTTGTTGTGTATACATATATTATCGGTCTTGTGTTGTTTGCTTTCTTTTCCTTCTTCTTTGGACTTAATCAAAGTCCAACCTTTTTTTTGCCTAGTTGGGCCCGGCGAGCAGGAGTATCTGAACCATACAGGCGTTTCGTCCACGTCTGACTTCTCTCAACAAACCGTAACCGCCAACATAACAGCCATGGCCCTCTACAAATGGTGACCTGGACGTGATTTTTCCACTCCTGCTAAAAAAAACACACAAGACGATATATATGTACAAAAACAAACAATTTCTTATATACACACCTTCACAAAAAAAGAGCCAAATAGGGAAAACATTGAAAAACGCACGCCATACACTAAAAAACAGCAATTACTACTATTGAAGGCGAACCTGAACTCTTCCACCACTGGTCTATATTTGCTTGACCCCTTCTTTCTCTCGGCGACGTTTGACCCAATTTCACCCAGCACACATGCTTAAGGCTGTACCGAACAAAAAAAAACAACGCCATTTTTTTTCTACCAACCAACACTATCCTCTTCTGGACTGAAACAGAAAAAGTGTAAACCCAAACCACTGAAGACGACTCACTGTCTCATTTTTAAACAACATTCGTGATTCCGACATAAAAGCAACACTCAACTTACACCACGTGGCGATATCTTCACGCCACTGCTTGCTTCTCATTCCTCTCAAACACACGTGGACATTCAATTCAACACAACTTCAACTGACTACACATCCACTCAAATTGTGCTAAACATTGCACATATTTCAAATGTCCAATGCAGTCTTAAAAGGCAATTCACCGTCCTTCATCTCATTCTGCAATTACGCGACTCAAACAAACCGAGATTTTGCCAGAACGATACTCTATCGTTAATAATACCAAATTCTCCCAACCTACATTCGATACTCGGTAGAAATTCAGCTCAACTTCACAAGTACGCTGCGTCTATTAACTTTTGTGCGCCGATTATACCCACACGAACCTCCTCGTTTTTTTCAAACCAACTACAAACAAGCCAGCAGACAGGTGCATAGATCGACACAACCAATTCAACGTGGAGCATTGTAAAAAAAGACAAATTTAAATAGCAACGCAGACCACTACCGACGCATTTTACAGGACGTGCCCAATTCTAACTCACTGAAATATAATACTGCACCCTGAGACAACATTACATTTCGTCGAATCACGAATCTCAACCACACTTCGGACACATTTTCTTTTCAGCCCACAAGAACAATATTCAGACTTTAACGAACCTTTTTTTCTTTATATATTAAAAGTTTTCATTTCCTTACAATTTTTAATCTGGTGGGGGGTATTGTCGGAGTTACCTCCTCCTTCAAGTTCGTAACCCTTTCACCAGAGGTCTCTCTTTCCTGGCTATAAATAGCCAATGACCCTTCGGCTCGACCTCTTTTTCCCTTTCAGGCCTGGGCACTAACGCCCCGAGGTAAATTTCTCTGCTTCCTAGAGGATTTCAACTATCAACCTCGAAGTGTAGTCGCTAACAAGAAATAGCGTGAAATCACGCTAAGCACAATGCACACACGCACGCACACAGATTATCCACACACGCACGCACGCACGCACATACAGAATATTCACACACTTTGTCCTTCGTACTGTTTCCCTGTATTGTAACTTGTTATGAATATATATTTGTTGTGTATACATATATTATCGGTCTTGTGTTGTTTGCTTTCTTTTCCTTCTTCTTTGGACTTAATCAAAGTCCAACATTTTTATGTAGTTGGGCCCGGCGAGCAGGAGTATCTGAACCATACAGGCGTTTCGTCCACGTCTGACTTCTCTCAACAAACCGTAACCGCCAACATAACAGACACGGCCCACTACAGGCTTCTAGTCAAAGTAGATAAACCAACTTGGCATATAAATTGTATTCTACGGCTTCTAGTCAAAGTAGATACCACAACTTCGCATATAAATTGGATTCTACGGATTCTAGTCAAAGTAGATAAAACAACTTCGCATATAAATTGTATTCTACGGCTTCTAGTCAAAGTAGATAAACCAACTTCGCATATAAATGGTATTCTACGGCTTCTAGTCAAGGTAGATAAACCAACTTCGCATATAAATTGTATTCTATGTCTTCTACTGAAAGTAGATACCACAACTTCGCATATAAATTGTATTCTACGGCTTCTAGTCAAAGTAGATAAACCAACTTCGCATATGAATTGTATTCTCCGGCTACTATTCAAAGTAGATAAACCAACTTCGCATATAAATTGTATTCTACGGCTTCTAGTCAAAGTAGATGAAACAACTTCGCATATAAATTGTATTCTACGGCTTCTACTCAAAGTAGATACCACAACTTCGCATATCAATTGTATTCTACGGCTTCTACTCAAAGTAGATACCACAACTTCGCATATAAATTGTATTCTACGGATTCTAGTCAAAGTAGAGAAAACAACTTCGCATATAAATTGTATTCTATGGCTTCTACTCAAAGTAGATACCACAACTTCGCATATGAATTGTATTCTACGGCTTCTAGTCGAAGTAGAGAAAACAACTTCGCATATGAATTGTATTCCACGGCTTCTAGTCAAAGTAGAGAAACCAACTTCGCATATAAATTGTATTCTACGGCTTCTACTCAAAGTAGATACCACAATTCGCATATGAATTGTATTCTACGGCTTCTAGTCGAAGTAGAGAAAACAACTTCGCATATGAATTGTATTCTACGGATTCTACTCAAAGTAGATACCACAACTTCGCATATAAATTGTATTCTACGGCTTCTACTCAAAGTAGATACCACAACTTCGCATATAAATTGTATTCTACGGCTTCTACTCAAAGTAGATACCACAACTTCGGATATAAATTGTATTCTACGGCTTCTAGTCGAAGTAGGGAAAACAACTTCGCATATGAATTGTATTCTACGGCTTCTACTCAAAGTAGATACCACAACTTCGCATATAAATTGTATTCTACGGCTTCTACTCAAAGTAGATACCACAACTTCGCATATGAATTGTATTCTACGACTTCTAGTCGAAGTAGAGAAAACAACTTCGCATATGAATTGTATTCTACGGCTTCTACTCAAAGTAGATACCACAACTTCGCATATAAATTGTATTCTACGGCTTCTAGTCAAAGTAGAGAAATCAACTTCGCATATAAATTGTATTCTACGGCTTCTACTCAAAGTAGATACCACAATTCGCATATGAATTGTATTCTACGGCTTCTAGTCGAAGTAGAGAAAACAACTTCGCATATGAATTGTATTCTACGGATTCTACTCAAAGTAGATACCACAACTTCGCATATAAATTGTATTCTACGGCTTCTAGTCGAAGTAGATACCAAACAACTACACAAAGTGTAAATTGTATTCTACGGCTTCACTCAAAGTAGATACCACAACTTCGCATATAAATTGTATTCTACGGCTTCTAGTCAAAGTAGAGAAAACAACTTCGCATATAAATTGTATTCTACGGCTCCTACTCAAAGTAGATACCACAACTTCGCATATGAATTGTATTCTACGGCTTCTTTCTAGTCGAAGTAGAGAACCAAAAGTTCGCATATGAATTGTATTCTAAATTAGATAAAACAACTTCTATAAATTGTATTCTACGGCTTCTACTAAGTAGATACCACAACTTCGCATATAAATTGTATTCTACGGCTTCTAGTCGAAGTAGAGAAATAAATTGTATTCTACGGCTACGCATGTAAAAATTGTATTCTACGGCTTCTACTCAAAGTAGATACCACAACTTCGCATATAAATTGTATTCTACGGCTTCTAGTCAAAGTAGAGAAACCAACTTCGCATATGAATTGTATTCTACGGCTTCTACTCAAAGTAGATACCACAACTTCGCATATGAATTGTATTCTACGGCTTCTAGTCGAAGTAGAGAAAACAACTTCGCATATGAATTGTATTCTACGGCTTCTACTCAAAGTAGATACCACAACTTCAAAGTAGATACCACAACTAGTCGAATAGAGAAAACAACTTGTATGAATTGTATTCGGGCTTCTAGTCAAAGTAGATACCACAACTTCACATATAAATTGTATTCTACGGCTAAACCAACTTCAAAGTATTCTATTATTTCTAGTCAAAGTAGATAAATCAACTTCGCATATAAATTGTATTCTACAGCTACTAGTCAAAGTAGATAAAACAACATCGCATATAAATTGTATTCTACGGCTTCTAGTCAAAGTAGATAAACCAACTTCCATATAAATTGTATTCTACGGCTTGTCGGAGTTACCTCCTCCTTCAAGTTCGTAACCCTTTCACCAGAGGTCTCTCTTCCTGGCTATAAATAGCCAATGACCCTTCGGCTCGACCTCTTTTCCCTTTCAGGCCTGGGCACTAACGCCCCGAGGTAAATTTCTCTGCTTCCTAGAGGATTTCAACTATCAACCTCGAAGTGTAGTCGCTAACAAGAAATAGCGTGAAATCACGCTAAGCACAATGCACACACGCACGCACACACAGATTATCCACACACGCACTCACGCACGCACATACAGAATATTCACACACTTTGTCCTTCGTACTGTTTCCCTGTATTGTAACTTGTTATGAATATATATTTGTTGTGTATACATATATTATCGGTCTTGTGTTGTTTGCTTTCTTTTCCTTCTTCTTTGGACTTAATCAAAGTCCAACCTTTTTATGTAGTTAGGCCCACGAGCAGGAGTATCTGAACCATACAGGCGTTTCGTCCACGTCTGACTTCTCTCAACAAACCGTAACCGCCAACATAACAGACACGGCCCACTACAGGCTTCTAGTCAAAGTAGATAAACCAACTTGGCATATAAATTGTATTCTACGGCTTCTAGTCAAAGTAGATACCACAACTTCGCATATAAATTGGATTCTACGGATTCTAGTCAAAGTAGATAAAACAACTTCGCATATAAATTGTATTCTACGGCTTCTACTCAAAGTAGATACCACAACTTCGCATATAAATTGTATTCTACGGCTTCTAGTCGAAGTAGAGAAAACAACTACACATGTAAATTGTATTCTACGGCTTCTACTCAAAGTAGATACCACAACTTCGCATATAAATTGTATTCTACGGCTTCTAGTCAAAGTAGAGAAAACAACTTCGCATATAAATTGTATTCTACGGCTCCTACTCAAAGTAGATACCACAACTTCGCATATGAATTGTATTCTACGGCTTCTAGTCGAAGTAGAGAAACCAACTTCGCATATGAATTGTATTCTACGGCTTCTACTCAAAGTAGATACCACAAATTCGCATATAAATTGTATTCTACGGCTTCTAGTCGAAGTAGAGAAAACAACTACGCATGTAAATTGTATTCTACGGCTTCTACTCAAAGTAGATACCACAACTTCACATATAAATTGTATTCTACGGCTTCTAGTCAAAGTAGAGAAACCAACTTCGCATATAAATTGTATTCTACGGCTCCTACTCAAAGTAGATACCACAACTTCGCATATGAATTGTATTCTACGGCTTCTAGTCGAAGTAGAGAAAACAACTTCGCATATGAATTGTATTCTACGGCTTCTAGTCTACTCAAAGTAAATTGATACCACAACTTCGCATATAAATTGTATTCTACGGCTTCTAGTCAAAGTAGAGAAACCAACTTCGCATATGAATTGTATTCTACGGCTTCTACTCAAAGTAGATACCACAACTTCGCATATAAATTGTATTCTACGGCTTCTAGTCGAAGTAGATAAAACAACTTCGCATATGAATTGTATTCTACGGCTTCTAGTAGATACCACAACTTCAACTTTGCATATAAATTGTATTATACGGCTTCTATCAAAGTAGATAAAACAACTTCGCATATAAATTGTATTCTACTTCTAGTCAAAGTAGATAAATCAACTTCGCATATAAATTGTATTCTACAGCTTCTAGTCAAAGTAGATAAAACAACATCGCATATAAATTGTATTCTACGGCTTCTAGTCAAAGTAGATAAACCAACTTCGCATATAAATTGTATTCTACGGCTTGTCGGAGTTACTCCTCCTTCAAGTTCGTAACCCTTTCACCAGAGGTCTCTCTTTTGTATTCTGGCTATAAATAGCCAATGACCCTTCGGCTCGACTACTTCTCCACAACTTTCCCTTTCAGGCCTGGGCACTAACGCCCCGAGGTAAATTGTCTTCTACTTCCTAGAGGATTTCAACTATCAACCTCGAAGTGTAGTCGCTAACAAGAAATAGCGTGAAATCACGCTAAGCACAATGCACATACGCACGCATACACAGATTATCCACACAAAGCACTCACGCACGCACATACAGAATATTCACACACTTTGTCCTTCGTACTGTTTCCCTGTATTGTAACTTGTTATGAATATATATTTGTTGTGTATACATATATTATCGGTCTTGTGTTGTTTGCTTTCTTTTCCTTCTTCTTTGGACTTAATCAAAGTCCAACCTTTTTATGTAGTTGGGCCCGGCGAGCAGGAGTATCTGAACCATACAGGCGTTTCGTCCACGTCTGACTTCTCTCAACAAACCGTAACCGCCAACATAACAGACACGGCCCACTACAGGCTTCTAGTCAAAGTAGATAAACCAACTTGGCATATAAATTGTATTCTACGGCTTCTAGTCAAAAGTAGATACCACAACTTCTTCTATAAATTGATTCTATGTCTTCTACTGAAAGTAGATACCACAACTTCGCATATAAATTGTATTCTACAAAGACTCTTGTATTCTATTCTACGGCTTCTAAAAGTAGATAAACCAACTTCGCATATAAATTGTATTCTACGGCTTCTAGTCAAAGTAGATAAAACAACTTCGCATATAAATTGTATTCTACGGCTTCTCAAAGTAGATAAACAACTTCGCATATAAATTGTATTCTACGGAAAGTTCTAACTCAATAATTGTATTCTAGAAAGTAGATAAACCAACTTCGCATATAAATTGTATTCTACGGCTTCTATTCAAGTAGATAAACCAACTTCGCATATAAATTGTATTCTACGGCTTCTATTCAAAGTAGATAAAACAACTTCGCATATAAATTGTATTCTACGGCTTCTAGTCAAAGTAGATAAACAACTTCGCATATGAATTGTATTCTACGGCTTCTACTCAAAGTAGATAAACCAACTTCGCATATAAATTGTATTCTACGGCTTCTAGTCAAAGTAGATAAAACAACTTCGCATATAAATTGTATTCTATTTCTACCAAAGTAGATACCACAACTTCGCATATAAATTGTATTCTACGGCTTCTACTCAAAGTAGATAAACAACTTCGCATATGAATTGTATTCTACGGCTTCTAGTCAAAGTAGATAAACAACTTCGCATATAAATTGTATTCTACGGCTTCTAGTCAAAGTAGATACCACAACTTCGCATATAAATTGTATTCTACGGCTTCTACTCAAAGTAGATAAACCAACTTCGCATATAAATTGTATTCTCCGGCTTCTAGTCAAAGTAGATAAAACAACTTCGCATATAAATTGTATTCTACGGCTTCTACTCAAAGTAGATACCACAACTTCGCATATAAATTGTATTCTACGGCTTCTAGATCAAAGTAGATACCACAACTTCGCATATAAATTGTATTCTACGGATTTCTACTCAAAGTAGATACCACAACTTCGCATATATAAATTGTATTCTACGGCTTCTACTCAAAGTAGATAAAACAACTTCGCATATGAATTGTATTCTACGGCTTCTACTCAAAGTAGATACCACAACTTCGCATATAAATTGTATTCTACGGCTTCTAGTCAAAGTAGAAAACAACTTCGCATATGAATTGTATTCTACGGCTTCTACTCAAAGTAGATACCACACAACTAAATTGTATATAAATTGTCATAGAGAAACCAACTTCTATAAATTGTATTCTACGGCTTCAAAAAGTAGATACCACAACTTCGCATATAAATTGTATTCTACGGCTTCTAGTCAAAGTAGATACCACAACTTCGCATATAAATTGTATTCTACGGCTTCTAGTCCAAAGTACCACAACTTCGCATATGAATTCTACGGCATCAAAGTATGAAAACAACTTCGCATATAAATTGTATTCATATAAAATTGTATTCTACGGCTTCTACTCAAAGAAGATACCACAACTTCGCATATAAATTGTATTCTACGGCTTCTAGTCAAAGTAGAGAAACCAAC